CAATCATTTCAATGCAACACAAACTCGTCGACAACAAAAGATTATCACATACTTCATATATTTTTCTTGGGAATAAAAACTAAACATAAACACAACGATATCAGTTTACGCTAAAACGAAGTTTCTCGTAAGAATCAAYCCCAGTAAAACAGTTCGATAATAAAAACTTCATTCCAACGTCCTGTATAATGAACCAAATATCGTTCATTGGATGCACGTGCAAGATACGAGACGATAAAGCCAAATAGCACTGATAATGATTGATTAATTGTATAATGACTGGTGTCTTACCTTTTCTCCTCGAAGTCCATCCAAACCCGACAGATAAACTTCCCCGAGTTTGATTTTTTTGCTGGAGTCCAACATTAATTGTGCCTTGTGTCTTGTTTTGAGGGACAACCTCGCCTCCTTGCCAGACCTGAAGTACAAACAACATCAAGCAGTCGAGRGCTGGTTAACCATTACGTATTAAAATAGCCTTGATTAATTGTACAAAAGCAAGACCTTACCTTTTGAGAGYCGATACTGAACATGTTGAAGAGAACACAGTTAGAACAAGCAAGATGATTGTGTAGACATCCATCGCTTAACCCTCAATAGTGAACAACAGACAAGTGGTGTGACCAGTTGWACGAGGCTAAAYGCTGARTGGTGGACAGTGTGATTGGATGCTGGTCATGACCGAATCAATACTTCAAAGCTTAGATGACACGCTAATACATAAGATTGTTTGTGCAAATCATTAACAGCAAATAAACACCGGAAATCGATTAGAACAACGATGACTGAAGTGCAGCAATACTTATTATCTCTTCTTTCGGAACAGCTCTTCTCTTGACTCTTTGTGAACTGATATACAACTAACGCTATGTTTTGGTGTTTACTCTAAGTAATCATGTTATTACCCCAAAATCCCTCACCCACGCATATATGACCTTTAGTTATTCTGACCCATCCAAATTAGACTGCTTTTTAGTCAWGTTTCTAAGAACTACAACATAGTGAACATTACCTGTAGCAAATTTTTTCTTGCTTTAGAGAATTTCGAAACACGCTAAGGGACTGTACAGGTTACATTACAATTTTTTTTGCTTCAAATCACCCCGCCCGATAATACTGSCCTTTTATTGCGAGACCCCCTGTCTATTTTAAGTGTGACGTCAGGTAAGGTATTTAAGTCGTATATTGTTCTCGGCTCGTAATACTAAATGATGGTTATTATGAGAAAACAAATTTAAAATTAYCTTAAGGTAGACCATCAATAAAATAATGATGCTTTTTAAATACTATTTGTGTGAACCAGTTCAATTTT